GTCGCCCAAACCTAGACAGGGGAAGTCGAGAGGCAGAGGTCGGGTTCGAACCACGGACCTTCCGGTCAGTAAATTCGCGCTCTAACCACTTGGCCCATCTCGCTCCAATTCCGAGGTTATCAACCATGTAGGTAGGTGATCAATTGGAACACCATTCGAACAAAACACGATTGAACACATGACATGATATACAAGAGTCGAAACCATACCTTTCAGTTTGAGTAACAAGTGGCACTCATGTTTGCGGTAGTATTGTACGTAGGAAACAAATGCGCGAATGCTCTTTTCATAAATGAGTCTGAAATCAAACAGAACATAAACACAGTTGTTTTTTCGCTGGAATGAAATGTGTGGACCATCAGTTGCGGTGCACTGTACATGACGCCGTATGATAACCAGTTGTTCGCACATACGACACTTGCAAACCTAGCTTCGAAGTTCGATAGCAGAGGGAAGTCGGTGTTTTGGTGCTCGACCGTCCTCAAACCGTATCCTACTAAAAAGGTCCTCAACTACCCCCTCGACGCCAGGCTCATGGCTTTCTCCGAAAAGAAAACAATGCACATTGCAGTGACGCCATCGTTCTTAGGTTGAGAAAGCCAAACTAAGCGAAATGATACCACAGAGCTTCAAAGCTCCGTGTCCACATCGCAAACGATGACTCAGTAGCAACTCTGGTTTTGTCAATCAGCTGTTTTGCGTTCAGGTGGACGACTTGCATTCATAGCCTTGAAAACCGCAAGATCAATTCCGAGAACAGACTGATCTAGCTTCCACTGACTGATGTTTACATCTAGTGTACATGAAACTAACGGGCTTTTGCTCTGAACTTAGTCATTCGATCCCAGGTCAACAAATGGCTTTTACGCTCCTTAGTTTTGAAATAACGAATGAACAGTTTACCGGATGGAGTACTGGAACTGAGGATGGACACGAGTTATCCAAATAGTGTTTCATACCATCATCCATTCAAGTAGCAGTAATAATATACAGGAGGGGACTATCCGGTGAAGACCTTGGCCAATACAGTGAAACTGACGTATCTTCATCTAAGGTGCACTGTTTTTCTGCTTTACAGAGAATTTGACGCTGTCCAGCGCAGAAAACGCTTACATTTTTTAACCGTGGCACAGTCCCCGTCAGGTGTTGCTTTTGGATGGGAACAGCAGTCAAAGTGTTGGTCTGTTACCGACCTGTTTTACAACTACACGAGTGTACCCATGATTTGTGCCAGCTTCAGCAATCTGGTAGAGGATATTTTCCCCACCCTACCCCTAGATGTCCCAATGCTGTCAGGCGATTGGTGGTGCACGACTGCATGACTGCTCAGTGTGATATGAAGAGAGCTAACTAATTCTGTCCAGGGAGTGGGTAGAAACAGTGACGGAACAAAAAAGCAAGAATCCCGAGGCAGGCGCACACATAACTGCTTGGGTCAAGTTGTAGATGAGAGTTTGGCTAACCACCAGCACGGAAGCAACTACGGGCTGACGTATGTTGGTATTAATTGTCACATATGTGGTTCATGGTTAAAGCACCTGTAAGGACAGTAATAATGCAATTAGTGTTGCTACGACAGAGTATCAGGAGGGTCAGCTTCCTGAAAGCAACCAGTGAATGCGCGAAATCTACCGAGACTCTCAGCTCCGCTAGATGTTGACCAGACAGATAACACCCCCTCAACATGCAGCGCGTCGCAGCCTCGTATCAAACCCAGACACCGCGAGTCAGCGTCGATCAAGGTCAGACAACGCCCCCGCAATATACAGCACTTTGCAACCAGACCGTGTGCGTCAGCATTGGATCAAGTCCAGACAGTGTCCTTCCAATAAAAAGCTTGAGGCAGTTGTACTTTTCGCACTCGCACACACTCTTTTTTTCTCCGGCACTAGGCACTGGAGCTGGTCAGCAGCAGATATCACAGGTTGGCGAATCAGCAGATATAACACAAAGTTACCATCATAATATATATTTGTGCCGGGAAGAACCCGGTCTTGGAGAATAAGAACTTGAAATGAGTGATAGCCCCATGAGAAATGCAATAGACGCCGCGCAAGAAACCGAGGGTACACACCTGTTGGAACATTCAGAAACGCAGTGTAGAAACGCAGTGGTAGTTCGGCCGTACTACTTGGCTGTTCATCAGGTGATCTTTGAACTGTTCACCGAGCTTAGTAGCTGACTTGCAAACCTATCGTCACCATCCAAGGAGGTGTCGTCAGTGCGTGGTTGGGTAAATATTTCCTCCAAGTTCACTCGAGTTTATATAGTTTCTAAAGAGTATTTAATACCTCTAATGTGATTGGTCGTTCAGAGTTTGGCTTGCGTGGAAATTGATTGGTTCTTTTGGAACTTGCTTCCATTGCCACTGAATCCCATCGTAATGTAACACGAACTCCAAACTGGCCAATTAAATTACGCGCAAGCCAAACTCCGAACAACTATACATAGTAGAGATATTAAATAGTCCATGCAAACTATTTTAACTCATAGTGATTCGGGGAAAAACACCCAACTAACCGCGCAATGACGACGACTATCCGAATGGTAACGAAACGTTCACACAAGTTATTGAGCTCGGTGAACATAACAACTGCTACGTAATCACCAAATAACGTCTCCTGCAAGGGCTAAAACAATTGCAATACCACTAAAACCTCGGCAAGCAAACCAAACATCCAGAATTCCAACAACCAGCGACATTACGATGTAACAGAGGTCGATTCGTTAGACCAGTTCCAACAAACAAATGTCTGTCACCTAACGGTGAGAGAGCACGGTGAGAGCACTGTTCAGCTGTAGCACCATTTCGGTGCCTAACTGCCATGCCACTAGAAGGAAGCACGAGAGCCGGTATACTGCCCGGTTGCCCAAGCCTAGACAGGGGAGGTCGAGAGGCAGAGGTCGGGTTCGAACCATGGGCCTTCCGGTTGGTAAATTCGCGCTCTAACCACAGAGCCACCTTCGTCTGTAGGGATGATCATGTATGTCGGCCACCTTTGGATCAAAGTCGGGACCAAATGAAGTATAGATCACGCGTTTGGGTTAACGGTACATTGTACAACCAAAACTGAGGTTACGAAGCAAATGTTTTGGTTTAGAAAGCAGTACTAGACAGGGAACTCACTTATCCTTTTTACAGCAGTCGTGAATACGTTTCGTCACGAACGTCGGTGTGTACTTTTGGCTGGTTGTTTTGCACAGTCCCTCCAGACCTTCAGAATCAAGTTCAATCAGCGAAACCTGGAAGACGGAAACGCAAATTGGTGGACACGCTAGAGATCGTGTTTTACACGTTTAGGTTGAAATGACCAAACATTCCAAAGGAAATATGCACTTTGATCGGCGGGTTCACAGATTAGGGGGGACCCGGAAGCTTGTGAGAATTA